CCTATTCTCTAGGGATTTAGAATGCCCTCCCTGAAAAGCAAATGTCCTGGAACCTGCAGCTGTTTGCACTTAGAATGTCCAGCTGAAAAAGATAAGGATCTTTAATCTGCAGTCTTTTTCTTCTGTGTATCAGAGTAAGGCCGGGACCTAGCTTTTCAGCTACCTCGCTGTTCATAGTAATATAGGATTTCTAGCCTCAACACAATCTCTAATTATTGATAATAACATTTTATGGAGCCCTGCATACTCTGCTGAGTAACTGCAGTGATTAAATCACCGGTGATCTGCCCGCCTGTTGACATAAACACTCTGGATGTCATCTCCGGTTTAAACAGTGAGACCACATTCCTATTTTTTCTATTCCTAAGCAGAGTCGACCCTTCCCAGAATACTCAATATTGATATGAAGTCATGCTGAAAAGAAAAGACCAACAAAGAGTGAGAAGTAACAGAATTTATTTGGTTCAAAGTATTGCAGCTCTAGAACAATGAGTAAGAAAGTTCCCACAGAGGGTTCTAGATAGCAAACCGGAAAGGAAGATCTCACAGGAAACAGTTAAGGGAGGCCATTTGAGCAGCCCCTTGCTGGCTGAAGGGAAATCCAGCATCCAAAATATGTGGTTGCTGAGTTAGTCTCTAACTTGCATGGAGTCGGTGAGGAAGAGTAGAGGCTACTGCAGGAGTCCCCCTGGAACCCAGAAGCTTTCTGGAGTTTCACTCGTCCTAGGACCCGGGAAAGTTTGTTTTCTGCATCCAAGCTGTTTTTCTTAGGCAATCAGCAAGGCCAGGCATGGAAAGAGATGAAGGGTGAGACCTCGGCACATCGGGTCCTAGCTATTATAAATAATGCTGCTATGAACATGGGTGGGCAAATTTCCTTTGCGTAATATTGAATATCCTTTTGGTAAATTCTCAAGAGTGGGATGCAGGTTCTTAAGGTAGATTGATCCACGTTTTTATTGGACACCACCATAATGATCTCTAAAATGGCTGTACAAGTTTGCACTTCCACAAGCAGTGGAGGAGTGTTCTCCTGACTCCACATCCTCTAAAAAATGAGCTGTCCTCAATATATTTAATCTTAGCCATTCTGACAGGTATGAGAAGGTATCTCAGAGTCCTTTTGATTTGCAATTCCCTGATGATTAAGCATGTTGAGTACTTCCTTCAAAGTCTTTTTGCCATTTAGGATTATTCTGGGGAGAATTATTTGTTTAGTCCTCCACCAAATTTTTCAATTGCCCGACAAGATAACTTACTAGGGCTCAAACTGTCTCACAAACTAAAAAATTCATCAAAAAGACTGCATGGGTATGAGCTAGTTCACCTGCATATATGTTATAGGTGTATAGTTTGTGTGATTTGTGAAAGCCATAAAGGGGCAATGGGCTTTTGTGGGAATTTGAGACCCTCCTCCACCTACTGTATTGGTCATCCAGCATTAATATGAGGATTGGTGCCTAGTGTTATTGTGTCCTCCTATGACCCATTAGGTTGATATTCTGGGAAGGCCTAATCTCCTCTGAAGAAATGGAGGGCGAAGGGAACAGGGGAGAGGGGAGATGTAGGAGTAACAGGGAAAAAATAGGAGTAACAGGGAAATAAGGAGGAAGTGGAAAATGTAGTGGAAATGTAAAGTACAAGAGAAAAAGCAATAGGAAGGAAGCAATCAAGAAATGAAGGAAGTAAGAACTGAATGAAGGAGGGAAGGAAGGAAGGAAGATAGAAAGGAGGAAAGACTGGAAGAAAGAAGGAAACATGATATAAGTGAAATGATTTCACCCTCATACCAGAATTTCTATCAGTGAGCTAGCAATCTGAATTTTTGAGAATACAAACTGCCACGCCTGTTAAAATGAATTAGGCAAGCTTTATTTCCTAGGCTCTGAAATGGATCTACAATATGACAATTGAGAATACACTCTTGTTTGATATAACAGGCTCTCTTCTAGAGAACCTTACAAAATGAGATGTTTGTAACATCTTGATTTTGAAAGAGATTTTTACATAAAATGATAACAGATTAGACTATTTGACAACTATTGTGCCAGAATGTCTCCTGGTTCCTTGACAGGACACTATCATCCTAGGGTAGAGTCCTGGGGGTCTAAATTCAACACTGTAGCAAAAACAACAAATATTTTTTTTTCAATCCAGTCAAGGTCACTAGATCGTAGATGAAACGTATTCTCTAGGGATTTAGAATGCCCTCCCTGAAAAGCAAATGTCCTGGAACCTGCAGCTGTTTGCACTTAGAATGTCCAGCTGAAAAAGGTAAGGATCTTTAATCTGCAGTCTTTTTCTTCTGTGTAT